GAACAACAAAAAATAGAGGTAAGATGCCTTGTTGCAAGGGCTGTGGTGAGGAGAGATTAGGTAATACATGTAAAACACTCAGCATCTTGTCTCTCCCATTGGAAACACAGCATTCGCCTGATTTCTTGGTAGACTGAGGTCTCCACTATGGTGACTGAGGATGGCAAGCCAAATGCCAATCCTCAGTCACCTCGCAGTGAAAACAAGTTCTCAGGAAGGAAAGACTCTAGGGGTTTTTATTTAAAGAATTCCTACTTTCCAGCTTCACATGTTCCTTAAGTTACTGACACTTCTCATTCCTGAGTTTAAACATCAGTGAAATGAGGATACCTCTTTGTTTTAAAACATATGGGTGGCAGAGTGACATGAATTGAGAAATAATTGTGTTTAGCCATGGTGTTAACCAGAAACTTGTTATACAGAATTTAGGAATGGTGTAAAAATGCACTGGAATCTCAAGACACATTTGCTAGGAGGCCTTCATGGTTGCGTCTAATGGTAGAATGCTTAGGATGTTAATAAAAAGGAACATGGTCAACATTTATAACTTATATCCTCTCACTCTTTCTCTCTGCTCTTCCCATTGTCAAACACCCCACTATGTTACTCCAGTTTCTATCCATTTGTCAATTCTTTTTAACAATTCATTATAATTTCTTTCTCTCCCTCTTTTCATTTGTAATATTAATGGTTATCTTTGGATCAAATACTATGTTCTTTGATCTCTCCCTGAGAAAGGTCAACCAACAAATGTCTTGGTTCAGTTAAGCAATGCTTGTTTTCCACTCCTTGGTCAATTTCTGGCCTTGCAAAATCTATAGCTTCAGGGGTCAGGTGTGGTGGTTCACACCTGTAATCCCAGCACTTTTGGGAGTCAAAGGCAGGTGGATCTCTAGAGGTCAGGAGTTTGAGACCAGCCTGGCCAACATGAGAAACCCCATCTCTACAAAAATACATGGATTAGTTGGGCGTGGTGGCAGGTGCCTGTAATCCCAGTTGCTCAGGAGGCTGAGGCTGGAGAGTCGCTTGAGCCCTGTAGGCAGAGGTTGCAGTGAGCTGAGATCATGCTACTACACTCCAGCCTGGGTGAGAGACTGGGATTACACCTCCAAAACAAAACTATACCTTCACTTCCAAATATGAGTGACTCTGTAGGTCTAAGAACCTTAGTCCTTGCATTGCCACTCTGTTTGTACAACCTCTACTATTTAGTTTGCTTAACTTTTTAATTAAAATGAATTTATGTAAAGGTATACCACTAAGCAATAATAGTGAACTGGTAGATTTGATATGTTTCATTATGAAACTTAAATTCCTATCTTTTTATACAAAACTGTGTGTGTGTGTTGTGTTCTGATCTCAGGTAGAAGGAACTCAGATAAAGATCATTCCTATCCTCCTTTGTCAGACAACTCCCACGTCCTCTCTGATGAGTAGCCAACCACACTGTGCCCGAGCCTCTCCACTGTGGCTAGAGGCAGTGGTTTTCCTGCAGGGCTCAGATCCTGAAGAGGATGAAGGCTTTTCTTTACCCTCTGCCCAAACAAGCTGTCCTGGTTTTTTCCCTTCGTGTCTGGCTCACAGCATTTCATAACAAGTCTACTCCCTTTGGTGATTTCAGGACATCTGTGATCATCTGTCCCTCTCTGCTCAATCCTCTCTCCTCTGAAAACTTTCAGAAGGACGTCATTTGTGAGGAGGTTGTGGCTTGCCAGTTACCGGGATCACGCAGGTCTTTCAATGCCTATGTGCTTCGGCAGAACTAAAAAATGTCCGAGGGCTCCAACCTCAGGTGGTAGGGATGGAAAGACCATGGAAAACAAAGGACAGGGGAGCGGAGAGAGCAGGGTACTTAGAAAAGCCCAGTAGTTCTGGGATGCAAGCTGTTGAGCTGTTGACCTGCTCTGATATACCGCCAGGATGGTGAACATTTTGAGCAGGAAGAATCTGACAGTATCCTCCTTTGTCTTCCTTAGCAGTGACCAAAGCTAGAAACTTACTACCCAATAAAATTAAAGAGGTTTATGGCCAGGTGTCCTGGCTCACGTCTGTAATCCCAGCACTTGGGAAGGGCGAGGCAGATGGATCACTTGAGGTCAGGAGTTCGAGACCATGCTGGCCAACATGGTGAAATCCCGTCTCTACTAAAAATACAAAAATTAGCCAGGGGTGGTGGCAGGTGCCTGTAATCCCAGCTACTCAGGAGGCTGAGGTAGGAGAACTGCTTCCAGGGGGCAGAGGTTGCAGAGAGCTGAGATCACAGCACTGTACTAAAGCCTGGGTGACACAGACTCCATCTCAAATAATATAATAATAAAGTTTAAATCTATTAGAGGTGTCTGATGTGTCTAACATACATCCCAGGGCCTCTCAGAATTGCCCTAAACCTATTTATTGTGTACTGTTTTTAACGAGATTGAAGGAGTAAGCCAAAATCTTTAAGTAGAATCTCATACGACTTTCTAAGAATCTGTTTAACCATCATCTCTTTTAAAAACGAAGCTTGGGGATATTTCCACTCATCAGAACATGTTGGTATCTCAAGGGAGGTAGGGTAGTGGCTTAAAAAAGCACATTCAAGATTATGACATACTTCTAGCTAGGACGAATCTTGTTCTGTATATTCTGCAATGCAGAACAGATTTATATTTCTTTTCCTTAAATTTATGGTCATCAACGACCTCTTGTTCTGCTGCTGAGCTGGGCAGTGGCGCAGGCTAGTTTCTTACTGTCCAATATACACACAGACACACCAGCAGCAATATGTTAAATTTGTCATCGGACAAAGCAAAATATTCAGGATTCTACAAGAAGCTACAAGATTCTAGAGACTTTTTAGAGACAGGACAGAAACATGTGCCGGGTAAACAAATTTCTAAATTCATATCACAGGAACTTTTTCTGCCACCTGATAGCATATGTGATTCTTCTTCTCTGAAAAATCTCATTGTCATTATCACATAAAGAGTAGGGAAAATGATAACTTTTGGCTGGGGGTCGTGGCCTGAAAAGTCAGAGAAGGGGCAGTTTTATAAACGAAGCTATCAGACAACTTAGGACTGGAAGAAACCCTGTCCTGTGAAGCTCACTTAGATGCTTCCCAGGCTGCACCACTGTACCCAGTGGGCTTGGCTCAAACATGAATATGTGACAGACAAAATCTCCTAAAGGAACTAGAAAAGCACAAAGGGACACTTCTGTGGCTTTCTTCTCTGAACAAATTTTCTTTTTCTTGTCTAGTCAAGTGGTTGGCATATTTCCTCCTCCTTTGTGTTTTTTATCTATTTGCACTGCTCAGTGGATTTTCTGATGCAGCCAGTATGCCCCAATCGATACACACACTCTCACTCACTTAAATGAGTCCCTTGTTTTTCCTTATTTGTGGGAGCTCCACAGACCTTGCCTTCAGGCAGCCTCTCCTTCCTGCTACTCAAGAATCTGAGGCCAGCAAGACACCAGTTGGACATCTGCATAAGATACCACACATTAATGATTCAATAAATTACTGTCAGTTTGAATAAATGGAGGCATGAAGAGGTGGACACTCACTAAATGATAGTGAAATATTTTTAACTAAGGAAAATCTGTATTTTTTTTTTCTTGGGCAGGTGTTGCTGGAGATAGTTTCCATTTTGGTGGATTTTTTAAAAAAGCATTTCTCTATCCCTTGTCTATTCCCTCTCATTTCTAAAGCCCTAAATTCTGCAATGCCAACTACCATTCTGGCTCCTTCCATCTGCAATCATCTACTCATGGGCTACGTGAAGGCGAGAGCCAGGACTGGTGATTGGGTTTAGCAGGTGCTTGAGGATATATGAATGGGCTTCAAACTGCTCAGCCCCAGCCTGCCTCATAATTTAAAATCTGAAAGTCTGGAAAAGAGGACGTGAGACGGAAAAGCTTAAGTTCCACAAAAAAGAAAAAAATTGATGGATCACTGAGTGAATTAGGACATATGGGTTGTTCACTCACTTTGTTATGGGGGAAAAATACCTACAGATCATAGTAAATATACTTGATGCAATAGAACTCAACTAAGTCTATCACTGATGGAGATAAACACTATATCTCAAAACTGTAATGAATTGAAATTCAAAAGGAATAATCAGTGGCTTATCTTCTAGTACCTGATACCAATTTTATCAGAAATATGATTTTTTTGCTGTGTAGCCTATAAAACAAATATAATCCCATCGACTGAGGTCTTTAGTAATAAAAATTGTGATTTAGGGAGTATCTCTCAACACTGCCCACTTACTCAAAATTGTGTTTACTCCAAGTCATTTTCATAACATCATTGCTCGTATCATAATGCGGGAGAATAACTACCTCTAGTTGAACATAGATAAGTTTAATTCTTCTCATGAGAAATAGTCTACTCTTTTCTATAAATAAACTTAAAGTGTTACTATTAAGCAATTTTAAGTCATATAATTGGGGGAAATGGAATAAAAGGTTAAAGAAAATGGGGGCTCAATGTTCAATTTGACATACATTTTGTTAAGAGAATTTGTAGGAGATGTTTAGGGCTAAACTTGCCCCTGAGAGAGAGTGTTCCTAAGGCTGCTGTGATATTTTAGGGAAAACATCAAAAATATCAGCCATGAAAATATCTTTTAACCCTCTGCAGCTGGTAACTACAGCTGTTATCCTAAATATTATACCGAAAACAAAGAACATATTGAGAACTCGAGAGACAATTTTTTTGTGGGTGAAGTGGGGTCTTCAGTTGGCATGAAAGAAATGCCACTTTTTTGGGGGGATTGCATTTATTCTGAAGTTGATCGAGGGGTTAATTCCACCCCACTAAACAGCCAGTGACGTCTGCCATGAGCCCAGGGGCAGAAGTCTTTCTGTCCTGCAAGACAAACCACTGAATTATTTCCTGCGAACCAAGGAGAGAAACTCAACTACACTGAGTAGAGGAATTCACAGCAAACTTGTAAAAAGAATGACTCCAGGAGGAAACGGGGACGGCATGCAAGTGAAGGAATACTTACATAAATGTCTGCACCATAAAATCCATCCTGGTAAACAACACTGCAAGGGTGCACACACAAAGAGAAACATCCATATTAGTGCATTTCCCATGCAGACACACCAACCCCTGCACTGGCGAGGTTAGTCTGGTCACAAGATCCAAAACATAGGAACCGAGGATCGTTTTCACATTGATTAAGGAGGTTGGAGACAACAGCAGTTGAGCAAACTGAGAAAATTAGGCCGGGCTTTGGTGCTGGCCCAGAATTAGGATGTGTGGTGTGGTGGTGGTGGTGGTGGTGGTGGTGGTGGCGGCAGCGGCGTGCTGGGTCCCAAACTTCCCACTCTCTCAGGAGTGGGTACAGAAATGCACGACTTTGAAATGCAAAGAGGACTGAGATTTATTTTAAGTGGCCCAAGCAGATATGAGCATTTTAACAGGTCAGAGTTGGCAATCAAACCACATATAACCCCCTACCCCACAGAAGAAAAACCCAAAACATCTATCTATAAAAATAGGATTTAAAAGGTCGAGACACAGATTGCAGCATTCTCAATACGGGCTACAGCCAAATGGCCTCAGGTGAGCTGGACAACACAAACGGTTTCAAAAATTTTCTTTTACATTCTTTCACATTGTATTTATACTTCATAATTCCATGTACATTATTTTATGGTAAATGGAGAATGTCTCTAATTGTATGTGGGTGAGCATGGGTATGTGTGCAAGAATCTGTTTTGTGTGCAGTCATGTCTTCATGTGTACAAGTGCATTGTGTGCATATTTGTGTATGTGTGTTAATATGGACAAGTGTAGGAATGCATGTTTGCACTTGTCTATAGTATATGCATGCATGGAAACATGTATATGTGCATGTGTATATTTATGTGTATATGTGTATTGGGATATTTATGTATTTGTGTACTTATATGTACAGGAGTATATACATGTGAATATCTGTATGTTCACATAAATTATATCTAGACGAAACAAAGTCCCACACCTTGATTGAACAAGTCCAATCTGATAGCAGCTCTCTGATTGCCACCCATATAGTGACCATCCCAGAAAGAAGAGACTTCAGAGGGCTGGGGACAGGGGTTAGGGAATGATTCTCCAAAGCTTTTTGGTATACTTTGAGTAAAAAAAAAAAAACAAAAAAAGAAGCTCTTAGCTATGTGGTCGTGAGAAACTGAGTTATATTTCCTAAGCATGAAAATGAGTTTAACAAGAATCATATGTAGCCTTAACATGTTTCTGTAAGGATCACAAGGCATCTTGCATATGAAACTGTTTCTAAATGACTATTTTTAAAAGGATCGTAGTGATTTACAATCTTCCCCAATACCTTCCCATGACGTTTCTAGATGACTTATGATTCCAGCAAAGGACCGATGAGCCCCACCATTGAATGAGGCTGAGGTTCTAATAGAAACACAACTTTAATACCAAAGGCTTGCAGCATATTTCAGTAGCAGAATTGGACCCACATGTAAGCAAAGCATATTGAGCCAAGGGAAGGCATTTTACAACACACACAGCACTGACACACACACGCGACTGTGACACTGGTTTGCTGGAGAACACTCTAGTGCGCTTCTTAGAGTATTCTGGAGTCAACTGACTAAACTCCAAGTACCATTGTCCTTAAAAATGTGGCAGGGATTTCCCACAGTAAGGAGGTTGGTAGAAATAGCTTTCAGCTGTTGTTCATATTTGATCCTGGAGGGCTACAGTTCACAAAAGCACTTGTGAAGTGGCGTAAAGCCCCAATCCAAGGTGCTGAGGTGTGCAGCGTCCTGAGCTATGCTTTGAATTCTTTTTCAATATTTCCAACACGAAGGACAGAATGTTGGTTGGGGGGTCAGAAGGCAGAGTCACCCTCTGCGAACAAGACTTGGAACGGGTCTGATGAAAGAGAGGTGAGCCACAAATATTTAGTTTGGGTCCCAAACCACAGAGCTGATCACTTAGCCATATCAAAACAGCTCCATCCCGTTCTTTCATGCTGCCATGCCCTTGCACGTGCAATGCCTTGTGCTGGCAATGCCGTTTATTCCAGTATCCTCATCCAAAAGCAGTGAGATGACCATTCAAGAGCCAAGTTAGATGGTAAGCACAGGGGCATCTGAGTCAAACTGCAGCATCCTCAATCAATAGCTCAGTACCTTTGGACACATCACGTGAGATATCTGAACCTCACTTACTCATCTGTTAAAAAGGGAAAATAGGTAAGTGCCTACCTCAAGGGAAGGTTTCATAAGATAACGCTTGCAAACGGATGGGCGGCATCATCCTTAACACTGTAGCTCTAACAGGCTCACCATGTCTGAGACCCAGTGCCTTCCCATTATAAACGCCAGCATCATTTTTCAGATTCTTATTGAGTCACTCGTCAATTTCTGCCTCACATCAAAGGTATGTGTGCATGTGACTCATTGCACCTTAAAAGCTACATCCAGTGGCTTAACTAACATTCTGTCTCAATTCCTGACACATTGCTTGTTACCTAGAAGATGTATAATAACTGGGTGAATAGGGCTCATATTTTAGAGGGAAGGGTGGGCATAAGAAGGTGTCAGAAGGAGATTGGGTCATTGCTTTATCAACTTGAGGTAGAATTCAACAATGGGTCAGGTGGAGTCTCAGGTTTGTCTGATTTGGCTATTCAGTATCGATGACTTGTCAATGGAGGAGAAATTATGATTAACAGACTCGAACCTGAATTAGGAGACCAGGGCAAGAGACTAGACAGAAAGCAGTCTAGAAGTAAACAATATATTTTTCACTAAATATGAAACATATACCTTTAAATATGGGAAATAATGACTTGTAAAGATCTCAATGGTAGAACCTCATCTGTCTCTGATTTTCTGTGAATGGAGAAAAGAACTGACTCCAGGCCTTGGAGGCTCTTCCAACAGGGCACACGGCATGGGTGTGGGCCAAGAGTGGGGTTCTATGATGTGGCTGAGGCTGAGCTCTAGCCAAGAAACTGATCCCTTCTTTCATTAAGACAAGTTGTTATGCACCATGGCCAGTTTTGTGCCTCCATGTCAAGCCTATTGGTACCAACATTGCCCAGAGGTGAGGCAAGAACATGCCGTGATGTTTGCTCTTAGAAATCTCCGCTTAGTAGGCTAACCTTATCACCATGCTTTGTCCTCCACCGTGGGCTGTGGAAAGTTACTTGGGGGACACAGACATCCCAAATTGATGAGACACTGAACCAAAGAAGAACTGGTCTAGCTTTCTCATTGTGAAAAGCTCAAACTGCATACGTACTATTTCTCTATTGAAAAGTTTTCTGTACCCCAACTACTATGCCAAGGCATGGAGACTGAAGAAGTAAGCCCCCCTCAGGAAACCTGCCCTCCCAGAGTGTACAGTGAGTGGGACACACAGTCACAAATTATGCACAAAATTGTAGAATCACAGCTGGGATAGAGGCTGCAGGAGAGAGCAACAGAGGTCCCCTGAATGTGGAACGGAAGGAGGCAAGGCCAGCAGCAGAGATGAGAGAGGCTGAGCAAATGGCAGAGAAACCTCAAAGCCTTGGCTCAGTAGAGAGGAGGGAAGAGCTGTCAAGGCAAAGGGTGGTGGGGCGAGGGTACTGCTAAGGCAAGACCCATGGTTGGAAGACACATGGCCTGGCTTCTTGGAGGGCTGGGGAGAAAGGTATAATGTCTAGCTTTAAGTTCTAAATATGGTGGCTTCACAGCGAAAAGATGATTGTAGCTGCCATTATAAACCCCATCATGAAGGGATTATTTTCAAAGTGCACATGTATTGGAGAGAAATGGAAAGGACAAGTGATCTATCTATAGGATAGCTCTAAAAAATGTGGAACCAATGTAGTCATCCTCACTGGCAATGTGAAATAAAGCCATGTAATGGGAAGCCAATTTTACCAAAACACTGTTTTTCTCCCTAATAGTAACAGCATGAGCACCAATACTCCCACTACTCACATTTGTAGAACACTTACCATGGATCAGTCCCTCTTCTAGATAGTCTGTGCTCATAATCCCACTCAGTCCTCAGAACACCCCTATGAGATGGATAAAATGATGATCGCCTCTTTAGACATGTAGAAACTGAAAGATAGCTGGGTATTGACTGAACTGGGATTTGAGCCCAGGGAGTCTGGCTCCACAGCGCAAACTCTTAAGTACTATGGCAAGCAGTGGTGGTCAAACTTGAATGCGTATCAGAATCACCTGGAGGACTTTTGAAACACAGATGGCTGGGCCCCACGCCCAGCCAACAGGTTCTGATTCAATAGATCTGGATGACAGCATCTAAGAGCTTACATTTCTAACAAATTAACAGATGATGCTGATGCTACTGGTCCCAGGACAATGAGAATCATTGCTCTATGCAACACCATCCTCCAAGTGTTATTTTACTTTACATGTGAGACAAAACTGAAGGTCGGCCTTCTGGGTCGTATTCTAATGGAGGAGCTGGTTACAGGAAAGCTCTTATCACAAAGCCGCATGCTAATTTCCAAAAATGTATCCAAATAATTTTTAAAGCCTCATCAAACAGCTGCACTTAAAATATAAGATATGTAGGGAAAGAAGCACAGGGATCCATGTCTACAGTGCAGCTATAGATAAACTAACCACAGAACAGTTAGAAGGGAGTTACCATCGTGCACTAAACAGGTGCAGCCCTATTTCAATGCAGAGATGGTACGTCTAGCCATGTAAAGGTAATTGTATTGCTTGTCAATCACATTGGGACTCAATATGCTTTTGCAAGGATATAATGCAAATGCACATCTTATTTTCTTAGAAAAGTAATAGCAGTAGTTAAATATTTGAATGAATGCAAGCAGGGAGTGATTGCACTATAGAAAATTAGTTTACTTTAAAAAATATATAAAATGCCCAAGCCATACAATCTGCCTGTGTAATATAATATATACCAGCCACAAGTATATTCTCATAGAAAATGCTGTTCACAATTGTTCTACCCTGAGGCCCCTTCCCACTAGAAAATAAACTTTCTAATGTGTTCAAATACCACTGTGTTTTAATGGATATTAGGGGCT